CGATAAACACAAGAAAACAAACTCAATAGTAATTACAGCAAGGACAAGCAAATGCTCAACCCGAATAGCTTAGCTGGTACGGCGATGTGCCCACAATCGGAAGACCGCAGCTCTAATCCTAGCAATACTACAGAGAGACCTCGAACATGGCTAAAAGCCAACCATCATCCAGCTCTGTTCAGGACTCGATAAGGTCTGACGATGACTGGGAGCTAACAGGCTAAAATATTGTGTACGTACATTCTGACGCACCAGACGAGAAAGACAGCTGGAACTATTCATCCGTGACGATGCCGGGACCCGTGAGGTTTCGAAACGTTTACAAGGTCTGATTTCCTCTATCGGGGTAAATAGATAATTGAATGAAATTGTAATATTGATATCAAAATAGTATCATACAATTAATGGAAGAACATTACCTTTGAGGAGTAATAGGCTCAGCGTTAATAGCGATAGCATCTGACATATAGCACACCGACTTTCTTCGGTAATACGTATTTGAACAACACAAAGCACCTAAACACCACCATATCTGAAAATAGTGCCGCCAACATTTGGAAAATATGGGCGAGACGGGCTTCCCAGGCAGTTTTTTGCTCCCCCCCCCCCCCCCCTCCCGCTCCCTGAGACATCGTTGCCGCGCCCCTGATCAGTGCTGGCGGACGGCCGGCGGCGGCCGGTCCGACGGCTGGCCCAGACCGCCGTGGCCGTCCAGCCGCCTGGCGCCGCCGAGGTCCTGTGCACGCTTGTCAAGCCCGAGGACGGGTCGCAGGCGCAGCAGAGACGTTGAAAAACAAACTGTGCGGCCAGTGTCGGGTGGTGCAGTACTGCAAGGCCCCATCATGCAAGAGCAAACCTATCGCGGCCAGCGGCTGGCGAGCGACGAACGCAGGTCGCGAATGTGACGTCACATCGTCGGCGGCGGGCGGTGCGACTTTGGGAGAAAAAATCGCAGACCAAAATACGTATGCATAAAGTGCGTGTTTATAAAGTGTTCGTAAGCACCGCTCAAAAAGGATCAGGCTCGTTTCACAAATGTATGTGCCCAACATCCCGTAAGTATTGGTCACATAAGATGAATTTGCATAGATAACACTACAATGCGTGTGTTCCGGGATAGATCCCCAACCAGCATGACGAATGGCACACTCTCAACTGTCAGGTTTCGCCGAAGCTGGTCTCCGCCTAAAGGTCTAGGGCATTGAACCCACTGTGCAATTTGTAGTTCCACCAAGTGCACCGTTTAAAGGAAATGTTTCACATTTGAGGATTTTGAAGCAAGCATCAGATATGATAAAACAATTTCACCTCGGTATATTTGTTACTATTGGTGTAGTTTTAAGTGGAAAAGACTTCTGTAGACAGAACAATTATCTGTCTGCATAGATAAGGCAGTAGTAATAGTTTTACTCCTCGAAGCAAAACCACAGGAATGAAGACATAGATGGGTTGATATTTCGGTGACATGCCTTTACCGAAACAATAGCAAGAGTTTGTTTGCTAATGTTCTTTTTCTGCTATTGTATCGTTAAAAGTGTGTTGCTCAAATACGACACCTTCACAGAGGATCGATCAGCCGCACATTTCGAACAGGTCAGATATCTGCGTGCAGTCATTAACAAACACATGAAATCTCCTCCCCCCCACCCCCATAAAGACTACAGAGTCCCACCCTCTTTGGCCCGTCCCACAGGAACCTACCCCGAGAAACCACGTTGCGGAATGCCTCGAGTGGCCGAGATCCACGGCTTACATAGGGTGTGGGCCGGATTGATACAAGCCTTTCGTGCGCACCAGCCAGCTAAAGCGCCTGGAACACCTGATTCGGAGTCTTCCATCGCTCGGCGGCCGGCCTCGGCCCCCGAGTCAGCGTGGCCGCCACCTGCCATCTAGCGAGAGTTCTCCGAATCAGTTGAACCTTGGTGCTGTCTACAGCCGAAGCCGGTTGCCTTGCACAAATACGGTGTCCGTCTGCCGTTCCAAGCTCCCGCGCCAAGTTGACCGAACGGCACGCGAGCGCCGCACCACCGCCGGTGAAAATGTTGGCAATTTTTCTGTTGCGTAAGTATGGTCCTCAATACGTCATTGTTTGATTACGTCATCGTACCTCACATAACATGGATTGAGAGCCAATTGACGTCCGTCGCTTTATCTGGAAATCGTGCTCACGACGCTAGACATGAACGACTCGGCAAATATATTTTTGCTCGGTCTTGGGTGTATTGGGTGCTCGGGTGTGTTGGTCTGAACGTTAACTCAGTTAGGTCAAATTTTCAAGTTCCTAGGTCATGACCTGCTCAAATAAGGTCAAACAAGGTCAAGTTACAGGTCGGTCTCCGAAGTGCACCCAGAACCTAGATAACCGTTGCTAAGCAGTAGGTCGCATGCTCATTTAAGCTCATTGACCTTGATTGACCTTTTGAAGATCAAGGTGACCAAAATCATACAAGATCATTTTGAGTTTGGCATTTGACTAAACGGCAAAGATTACGCTAGGCAGTATGTTCCTAAAACTAAATATTGGCCTGTGTCATTTTAGGTCAATGACCTGTTCTGACATCTAAAAAGCCCATGGAAGATGCATGATGCGGTTCCTGCTATCAATAAAGTCGAAATGAGCACTACAAACTATCCCATGCAGCAAGCCCTAAATAATGAAAACAGGTGGGTTTTAACCTTGGTGTGACCTTGATGCCAGACCTTAGGTCTATCTAATTTGCTCATTCCAATGTTGTTTTGCCTAAGAAAGCATCTCAGAGATGTATGGCTTCCTCTAACACTCCGTTGTTGTATCAGATTGAAGGATTCCTTTGGAATTGCCTGCGCTGAAACCATGACCTGACTTTGACCTGCCATAGGTCAGCAACCTTACATTATAAATCCTAATATGTAGTCCAAACGATCCGCTGTTCAATTTTCCGTAGCTCTGCAAATGTTGCCGCGGTTTCGCCGCGCCGTTCGGAAACCGTTATGGAAAACCTTAAGGGGGGTCGATTTGACCCCCCACCCAAGCGCATGTTGACAGAACCGGGTTTTGAGTCCCTCAGTGTTAGGATCGTGATTACACCAATGCCCATACATGCCATAAGTGTTCCACAGTACGTTAAAATTTTAAATACGGTTACCAATGTCTGTAAACTTGATTCTAGCCTGCTTCTCACTGGACCATTCTTGTCTTATTCAGTGTCATTCAGCGTCGTCTACTCATACACCCGTGGCGGTAATTCCACATGACCGCGATGCGTTGCAACGCATGGCTTCTATCTTAGTCTGGTTGCGACGCTCCTTTTCTAGGGGATAGGGATCATTTGGGTACACGCGAAGTGATCAGTTGGAGATATCCGACGCGACACATCACGTGTTTTCCCGACTTATACCTGCGTGGTTTTTATGTAAGACGTATGAAATGCGTGTAATACGAGACGGATGTCTGAAACGCACGCGTGGCCATCATAAAACTCATCTTGAGACCGTCCGCCCACCAAAACATCACCTCATCTTATAAGGTAGCCGAAACAAAAAAACAAAACAAGTAAGTTCTTGACAGGTACGGGAAGCACTCAGCGAGGCGCGTCTCGCATGCTGAAATAGTCGTTTTACGAGAGCACCCAAGATCACTATACATTTTCAGCTAGTTTCTGCTGAAGTTCGCCTCAAACAATCCCTCACTCCGCACTTCGACAACTGCAAACAGCGGTGAACTTCTGTGCAGATCAGCACGTTTGCAGCGCAAAATTACAATGCTGCTGCTAAGGGACATCTTCATCCCGTCTCTAGTCCGCAACAACGACAACTTGCGCGCAGGTGCAGTTGATCCCAAACAAAGGTCGGGTGTCCGTCAATTTGTAAGCTGGAGCGTATGATGACCCTGGCTTTTCAGCTGTTCGTAAATTTGCGCCTCTTAGTGCCAAGACAAACCCATTAACCGAAGTAGGGGAGAGACAGGTGGTACCTAATACTGACATTGCCATATTTCTGTAACTTTTGCTGGCCCTCCATATTTAGGAAGACTCGGCAAAGGGGCAATAGGAGCAGGACGTATGGGCCATGGGCCCAACCAATCGAGCGTAGAGATGGGAACAAGGGGACCGGAGGACTTTTGAAGGAGGACTGCTGACTTTCCTAACCACTATGAAAGTTTTTTCGTGAAATGTTCTCTCATGTTTCGGGTTCAAGTTCCAGTCCAGCGGCAACGTCTTCCAATGAGAGCAGCTTCCCGTCGGAGTCCAGCTTGTAACTCTGAACCGTCAGGTACTCTGGCAGTGGTGTGTCTGTGCTCTGCTCATCGGCATTGCGGCGGTCGTCTAGCTCTTGCCTCCTGATCGCCCGTCGCGGATATGCTAGGGCCCCACCAGGAGGGTCCGTTATGGTCGATATATCGTTGGCGGCTGACATAGTGCTGCTGACTGCTTACATGTATTGGGCGTCTGCTCACATAAAAACCGGCTTAACAACGCTCAGTTCATACGACGCACCGCGCTAGAAATCTGCTGAAAACACGGAGGTGTGGCTGTGCGGTTGCACTGATGAACAGTACAGGCAACTAAAGGCAACATCTATGATGGCGCCGTGATGACCGATTGGATCCAGTTCAGTGATGGTCCAAGCGCGATGTTGATAGCCGGAAACTCTTCGCTGCCACAACCGGCTCCAGCAACAACCAACCCCACTGCGTACCACCTCGCGATGTCACCCTCCCCGATAACTTTCATTAACACAGAACCCAGATCGCCGCGATTGATAGCACACAAGAACACCGATGTCGGTTCAAAAAACTTCGTACAAAACGAGCCTGCATCAAAATACCGGATGAATGGTGGGATCTTGGTGTAATTGCTTCTACAATCTCCGAAATCCACCACCCTCACCCTGGCCCATTTCAGAGACATGAACGCTGTGCTTGCGGCATATCTTGTCGCGCCCCAGCCCGCAAAGATGAGGTCATCACCCGCTGGCACAATTGACGTAAGGGATGCATCTGGTAGGCAAATAGGGCTCACAGTGCCGGAGAACGAAATTTTTGACACAGTCTTCAGCAAGGCAATGTCCTGAGCTCTCTTTTCCGGCAGCGAAAACTGGGGATGCCGCGCAACTTTGATGATGTCCAGCTCGAACGGAGGAGCGTTAGGATTGTCGTCAGAGGTGTCCTGCAAGTCGAGGTCACCGAAGCGCACACTCAGCTGGCGGCCATCGCGAGCGCAGGTCGCCCCCGTCAACACCCATCGGTCAGAGATCACGGCGCCCCCGCAGACCACTATACCTCTGCCGCCCTTTTGTCTTTCGGAGATGGCCGCCATCCAGGGAAAGTTGGCGGCGTTCTTGACGAACGAGGCGCCCAGCTGCGCCGGTGGCGAAAAGCTGGTCTTTCCGCAGCCGGCGCCGCGCGGCTCCTGTCCGGGGCAGCAGAACAGCGGAGTGGTGGCCGCGTCCAGGCCGCAGAGAGGCCGGTACAGCGTCACTGACAGGTCCTCGCCGCCCGACGACAGCAGGTCGGGACAGTCCCGTAAGTGAAGGCAAAAGCCGGCCGCACCGTCCGGGGTGGAACAAGGCCGGCCCAGGTCACCCTGAGGCCGGTCGGCGGCATCTGGAGCTGCGGTCACTGTCGTGCTCGGGGCCGCATCCTCCTCCTGGTCCAGCTCTAGGCGGCGCAACAGCCAGGCAGTGTAAGCCGACAGCTTAGTGTAGAGGCCGGGACGCCGGCCGCAGCCAAGCGGGTCGCCAGACGACACGACGCCATACGCCACGAAGCGGCCGCTGTCCGCGTCGCCACACACCAGCGGGCCGCCCGAGTCGCCCTCGCAGCTGTCGGCGCCGCCACCCGTCGGGCCCGAGCAGAACATGGCGCCGGGCAGGAAGCGGTCCTGGTACACCTCGGGCGCGCCACAGAAGGCGTCCGACACCAGCGGCACCGAGACGCCGCGCAGCACCTCCGAGATGGGCGCAAGGTCCGCAATGCGGCCCCAGCCGGACACCTCGCACGGCAGAAACGTCTCGTACTTGGTGCCGGCTGCCGGTAGGCAGGCCGGCTGCACGTAGCGGCCGAACTCGATGCCGGGTCCGACGCGGCGACGTAGCCGCAGCAGGGCCACGTCGTGCCGCAAGCCAGCAGCCGTGCCGAACCGGCTGTGCACGTGGTAGCTGGCGACGGCAAACTCCTGCTCGAACAGCTCGCGGTCGTCAAATCGGAGGTCTCCGACACGCACCAGCAGCCGACGTGGGGCCACCTCAATCACGCAGTGGGCGGCCGTCACCACGTGTTCCTGCGAGACAATGATGCCTCCGCAGTGATGTACATAGCCCTTCACATTGGCATCGTACATGACCAGCCGCGCCTGCCACGGATATTTACCATAATAGGCGGTGGTGTTGCCCGGCCCGACTATGAACGGTCGGCGCGCTTCGTCTGGCCGCACAAGGCGGCGGCCGCAGTCCGTCGGCAGAATGTCCGGCCGGTTGCTGTTAGCTGTGGGAACGGCGTCCGCCAGCCACGCCGTCAGCGTCAGCAGGAGCACAGCCCCGAGTTGCGCGCGCACACCGACACCCATTTGTAGGTCGGAACAAACGCCTTCCACAGCCCGACGGCCGCTCCTGTCGCCACCCAACTGATCGCATGGTGCAACTCTGTGCGCCGCGGGCTACAGCCCGGAAATTCCAGCGTCTGAGGCATGCAGAGGCGCTCAAAGCTTTGCTGTTTGGGGGGAGCGAGACAATTCTGCGGACAGCTGCTGGAGCATTTACGCAAGATGGGCGAATCAAATATGCACACTAAGGGACTACTAGCCCAAACGTAACCAGTTTACGAATTATCCGTGTGCTGCGCATGGTGTGAGCCGTCTCTATAGCATTGGAAATTACACGGTTGGAAAAACCGAGGCTCATGGTAGATCAACAAGGGGAATTCCATTCCAGGTAGCCATCCATCAGGACGTCAAAAAGCATCTACTCGCCCACGAGCGCGGAGACTCATATCAACGCCTGCCCTTCATGAAAAAGGCAAACACGCTGCAAGCGTTCAATGTTCTGTTTAGCATATTATTTCATGAAAAGTCTATTGCGACGAAATTGTGCACATTACAACATCGAAACAGAAAAAATGTTGTAGTGGCCTAGATATTTTTCATCCCTGCCTTGTGTGAGACAGGTTATGGCACAGATATTACTATTAGTGGGTGATTATCTTGGGAGATGGTGGGTGACTACACCGTCTTCCAACTTCTTGAAGGGCTATCTTAGTTCATTATAAATACGTTCCTTTCCTTACTGCGTTGTCTCCTCAGCGAAAAGACTGGTCGCTAACTGAACACGCAAATTCAACATGACGTAATGCAACCGTGGAGCTGAAAGTTACAAGAAATGTTTAATATATTCGTTGTCAGCAAAAAACGGTGCAATATAGTAGTTGTGATATCAACACTAATGACGTCATAACAGTGTTTGTGAATAATTTCCTTATTGTAAGAGTGGCGCGCTTTTCCTTGTTTACTTGGAGCCTACGTTAGTGTGTGTAGTGGACGGCTTTGAATGAGCCATCAAACTGAAAGGCCGGATTATGAGTATTTGCTTTTAGATGAATGCGTCCAGTTCACTGCAAGTCACACCTCATAGTAGAATTTCATCCTCAGTGTTTAGGATGGGGGTAGAATCGTTGTTAGCTTCATTTATTTTTTTTGTTGCAATAGACGCTGCAAAGTGACATGACCTCCAAACATTTTGCTAGGGCTTGCAACAGAGCAGAATTTCATAGTGAGATGGGCTATTCATATTTAGAGGGAAACTCACCTCATGAATGCAAAGTTCAGGGAGCCTGATTCAGGAGTGCTTTGCGTTCAAGTTTTGGATAATTTTGGGGACGTCTTCCATGTGCCCAGGTTTTGTGATGAATTATATGTTAAAACATGTTAGGTAAATTGGGGGTAAGTCCTGCCCCATTCGGCACAAGATTCGGGATGTCTTCAGGCTTGAGATCTGGCTGACATATTTGCTATAATTTGTAGGTTGTTTGATTGCTTGAAGGCAATTTCCACTAAGTAGACTGAGACGGCGCCCCATGAAAAGAAAGCCATAGCATGGGAGTTTTATGCAAGCAAGTAAGCCATATGAAATCCTTGAAAATATTTCTATTTTCGGTATTATCATTCTACTTTAAATGCATCATTTTGACAACCATAGGTTTATTTGCTGAAAGGAAAGAAATGCGGTTGAATTCCCCAAAACGTGACAGCAGGTAGAATTTTCTTGAATGTAGCTGTTACGCGGGGAGTTTTCAATTATAAAATATCGTCGTTAGGTTTCTTGATTTTTCACGGTTCGCTCTCAGGGGACATCCCCACAGTGGTCACCATTTATGTCACGCGGAAAATTTCCAATACTATACCATCGTCTTCGTTTCCTTCAGCCTGATTTTTGCCGTCCGCGTAACTCGGAGTGCTGGCTTGTCATTTTTTTTTTAGCAATATTGTCATGCTCACCCGACGGATTTCTCAGACACCAAACGGTAATCACCAGATTTCCAAAGCCCGGCTTGCATAAAAGCAACAAGCACCGTGGCTGACTCATTTTGGATGGAGTTCCTGCATGGTTTTGAAGTTACGCACTCGCACAATGACGTTGTGTACCGTATGCCTTTCCGTATACCGTATACCGTATACCGGCCTTTCAATCCACGGCTAAACAATTGCCTACGTACTACGTAGAACTTTCTCCACCGCTCCTCGCGAGGAGTCATAATGCAAAAGCGTATGTGACGCATTTAGTTCGCGGTGACAAAAATCCTTTCATTATACTCGAGGAAAATTCACAGTCGCCCCACGCTGTACGAAGTTTACGGGTATCTTTGATTTGATGTGTAAATGTTGGTCTGACCGTGTCACGTGCACTCTCATGGCACAAAATGCAGGCCGCACACCGTCGATCTGCTATTTTCCTCCAGACTGTCCATTGAAGCGCGTAGAAAAACGCCAGGCAGGGTTCGCCACGTCATATAACAACACACCTTAGCCACAGAGTCATGTATTAAATATACCAATTGTTGCGATACGATGTAAGCGCAAAAATCATACGAATAGCTGATCAGAATTTGTGCGCGAGCACGTAATCTCAAAGAAACCTACGGAAAACATATTCTTAATAATCTAAAAGGAGAAAAAGGGGCCAGGGTTCTCAGAATCGCCAAAGGGTCGATTCCTTCGCCGGGCTTACATTTTGCCGAGGTGAAGGCGTCGAGTAACCAGCCCCCGACGCACCCGGCCGATAAGGCTCCCACACCGTGCCACCCACTGTCTGAACGTTCCCGTGTACTATTTGAGAATGCTCTGCACTGGCTGAACGTATCCTACTTCTACGAGGTCGGTGTTTTTAAGGGGCAGGCCCCCTATTGATCGTACTGGGGAGCATGTCCGGAATGAGCACTCGGGCCAAACGTAGTAAACAAAAACCGTACTCGCACATCGAAAAACAGCAGGTGGCCCGCGGCGGATTGATGCGCCGCGCGCCGCATTTGAAACTAACCTATTCAACCCTGTCCCCGGGATCGCAAAAACACACACGTCGTACGAATAACCCAACTGCACTAAAAACATAGCACGTGGCCCGCGGCGGATAAATACGCCGCTTGCCACACAACCATCAACAAGCTGTACGTTTCAGATCCGGCTCACTTCTTTAGGCTACAAATCATAACACTCGCCGTGATAGGGGATAACCATGTCCGCGGAGGTACGTCGAAGATACCCCTTTAAAGTGTTTTGCAATCACGTCCAAATTTCCGATAGTTTATGGGCATCCATTAGGCGTATTTCGACACCAGAAACGTGTGTCTAGCTTTTCTTATTTCGGAACAGTAGTAGTTTGAGGAACAGTGCACGGCGATCTACGGCCGTTGCGGGCGGCGGGCGGCAACTAATGATGCCGCGGGATGCACTGCCTGCCGGCACTCTCACATTGGCAAAGTCAGGTATCATATGTATATGTATATATATATATATATATATATATATATATATGATCAAAACAATAAATTATATAGCGATTTTACTCAGCAGTTAACAATGAAAACACCTGCTCAAATTTTGTGTCCCCACAGGGATGCCGTCGTAGGTATGATGTAAAGTAAAAAAAGCGATTTTCCGGCAAATTCGACAGTTGATCTGCCATAATAGGGGCAACTGTTTTTTTTTGTATTACCTAACAACATGCAAGTTAGTATCAATTGGACACCTCGTTGAGACTAATCCATTGGTGCTTTTTGCTAAGCTCTATCTTCATCAGTTTAGAAACGCCTGGGGGTGGTGGGGCTCGCATTCCCACTCTGTTACTCCGCGGCATGAAAAACCGTGTGTCAGAGCGACGGTTAAGGAGGAAAATCAGACCATTTGCGATTTGTGGGAAACGGGGGTAAGCGTTGTTTACCTCTGTAAACACCAGATACAGTGAATCCCAAAGTGAACCGTAACTCGTTGAGACGCTACGTCATAGGCTGCAATGATCATCACAATTTGACCCCGCGAGGGACCCATGATGGCTGGCAGGGTGTGCGGTCGCGCGCCCACGCGCTACCACTCTATTCCGGTGATCTGGTACGGATCGGGCGTATTTTCGTACATACTGTTTACTTCGCCTTGCTCTTTGTTTGATGTAGAAGGGTAAAGCTAAACTTCACTGCCCAGTAAACACGGCGGCTAGCTGGAGAGGGCTGGCCCGGCGCGCAGAGCCGGGCACGGTCGGTAGCGGGGTGTCGGTGTGCGGTGTGCGGTACGCGGTGTGCGGCTGCAAACCAGCGCTGCAGGCGGCGGGCATCTCGGCCCGTCCAACTCACCCAGCACCGGTGGATGGAGTCACAGACGCAGACAAGCGGGGTGCAAACGGGTCGTACCAGTCTGTTATACAGATGCGCATTGGCGCAATGCATGCAGATGCTCAGTGACATGCAGGAAGGCAGCGAGAACCTTGCCAAGGTGGTATCGGAGCCATAACCGCGGAAACAGGCGGAGAGGAGATGTAGGAGGGGGGAGCGTTTACCCCGCACAAAATGTTGGACGGCGGAGTGACGCCCCCCCCCCCCCTCCCCGCCCTCCCCCTCCCCCCCCCCCTCCCCGCCCCCCCCCCATTCCCCGCAATCTAGGCGTGATTAAGGTTATGCTTTCCCTGTACAACACTGAGCCAACTTCAGGAAAATTTTCAGAAAAATGGAAATAAGGCCGGATTTCTGCCCACAAACACTATTCAGCCTTCAACTGTTATTGCATACTAGCATTTCCCTCATGCAAATGTCGTCTGCTGCAGTGAGTTCCAAGTCCCCGCGGCTCAGTAAAAGTTGATTGCTTTGAGGGTACTGGTCAAACTGACTCATTGCCGGCGCGAGTAGTCACTGCACTATTTTGTGTATGTTTAAGCTTACTATTCTTCATTACCATGCTCAGCAAGCGCACCACGTGGAAGAGATGTACAGACCAGCGCACCCCGATGTATAGGTGTCTGCTCCTATCAATCACCCACGGTACGAAACAGAAATCTGCCGAGAAGAGACCATTCGACATACACTCGTCAG